CTGCACTCCAGTCTGGGCAACAGAGTGAGACTCCAACTCAAAAAAAAAAAAAAGAACAAATAGATATTCTAGAACTGAGAAGTACAATATTTAAAATGAAAATTTCACTAGATGGATTTTAACAACACATTGAAGGTGGCAGAGGGTAAAGTTGGTGAACCTGAAGATAGATCAATAGAAATATGCTAATGTAAAAAATAGAGGAAAAAAATTACCCAAAATTGAGCAGAGGCTTGCTGGCCACTGGGACAAAATTAAACTATTATACAAATAATTAGGATTCCTGGAGAGAAAAGAGAGTGAAACAGTAGGATAAAAAATATTTAAGGAAGGAAGCAATTCCCTCAAAATTCCTTTATTCAATAAATCAACTTCCAATCCAAGAAGTTTAGTGAACCCAAATCAGGAGAAATACAAGAAGAACCTCATCTTGGCACATCTTAATCAAATTGCTGAACATCAATGATAGAAAACAATGTTGAATGCAGCCAGGGGAAGAAGACACGTTGCATACAGGGGGATGAAATTATAAATGAAAGATGACTTCTCAGAAATGATGGAGGCCAGAAGACAAGCTGTTCAGAGTCCTGAACAGATAAAGCTATCAATTCTATAGTCAGCAAAAAATATCCATTAAAAAATGAAGGCAAAGATGAAATAAGCAAATTTTTCATATAAAAGTTTAGGGAATTCATTGTTAGGAGACCTACATAGCAAGAATACTAAAGGAAGTTCTTGAGAATCCAAGGGAATAAATACCTTTCTGACTAGTGGGAGTACAAATTGGAACAAAGCAGTTTGATAGTCCATCTTAAGAGATTTTAGAAGTCCATAGCCAACTAGATAGTAGCAGATTCTTACACCAAGGCATGGCTTATCAAATCAGTGATGGGGATCATGGGGGAAAAGATCATTATTCAAGAACATGTTAAGATAACTGACTAGCCATTTAGAAAACAAAATTTGACCTCTATTTCTAACATTAAAATAAATTGAATGAACCAAATATTTAAGAAAAATATATAAGCTATAGAATTACCAGAAGAATATGTGAGAGAATTTTTAAAAATGTAATCTTGTAGTGGGCAAGGCTTTTCTAAGGTAGAGGTAGAAACCAGTAGTCATAAAGAGAAAGATTTGTGAACTTGAGTACATAAAAAAGTTTTGAAGTTTCTACATTGGAAAATTGCCATATAATCAAATACAATTTAAAAACATATATGGACCATTGCTTTATTAGCCTCTGGTGTGGCCATGCGTCTTGGAGCTATGGCCACCTCCATGTTTCCTGGCTTTGGCCTCCTCCCCTACCTTGGGAAGGTAAATCTCCTCTTTCTCTCTCTCTCTCTAATGTACTTTTTAAATCAACATTTTCTAATCTAAAAATAATAAAATAAAACATATTTGACACATGATGGCAGGATTCTTTATATAGTATTAGGTCTTATACATCAATAAGAAAAAGTCTTATAGCAGGATATGAACAAGTGGTTAGTTCACAGAAAGTGAAATGTAAATGACTAGTAGTGTGAAAATACTAAAAATATCTTTCCCATCAAAGCAAAGGTTCCTCTTGGTTTCCTAGTGACACATACAAATAAGTAACCATTAAAATTATTTTTTCTTTATTCTTCTTCTTTCATCCTGTCAACATAAGAATGTGCTGAAGAAGTTTAATAGACTGTTATACTTTTGTATTATAGGACACAACATTTAAAATATCTTTTTTGTTTGTCATCTTTATTGCCCTTCTAGACCAACTCTTAATTCACCCTTCTCTGCCCTGTTCTTTGGAGGTTGACCTCCAAAGGGATACCTTGGGGGAAGGAAGTTGACTTCTGGTTGGATTGAACCAATATGAGGCACTGGCAGGATATTGTAGAGCCAGAAGAGAAGGAAGTTGGGTATTTACTCCTCTGGGTGCTATTGGGCACCCCCTCTCCAGTAATCACTCCCTCCCTGCCCCCCTCATTCCCAGGGGTGACAGTAGCTTCCTGAGTACATCCCTTTTGGTTCCTTTAACCCCTGCTGTCACCTTTGTCAGTGTACCCTTTGGCTCCCTCTTTGAAAATGCTTTTTTTTTTTTTCCAGGACCTTGACTATTGAATAAAAAGCATATAAGCATCAAAAGACATAACTGCTCACAGTAGCATTAGTTACAGTAGACACAATACTGGAAACAACTCATATTTTCATCAACAGTGTTACAGATGAATAAGCTGTGGTAAATTCACACTCTAATATACTATAAAGTAATAAAAATGAACAAAATGCTGCTAAACACAAAACGAAGGATATCATACAAAGGAGTATGTGCTATAATTCTGTTTAGGTAAAATCTAAATATATAAGACCCTGTCTTCTAGCTTTATGGTTTTACTTTTCTCATTTAGATCTATAAACCATTTGGAATTGATTTTTATGTATCAGTGTGCCATAGGTTAAGTTCCTTTTATCTTCTCAGATGGATAACCAGTGGACATAGTACTTTTTTTTTTTTTGAACAAGTAATTTATTCTTGGCACTCAGCAGTGTCACCTTTGTTATAAATCAAGTGTTACATATGCGTATGTGGGACTTTTTTCTGGGCTGTGTTCTGTTTCATTGGTTTTTGTATTCATCCTTATAACATAGCACACTGTCTTAATTACTGTAACTTTATAATATGTTATTAATGGCAGAGTAAGAATCCCTTCCCCTACTTTGTTCTGCAAGATTGTATAAGCTATTCTTAGCCCTTTGCTTTTGCATATATATTTTACTGACAGTTAAAAACAAAAACCCTGTTAAAGGCAGTGAGAAATAATTTAAGGCAGAGTGATAGTGACTAGAAATTTATCTAAGATTTAGTAATAATTAGATCATCTCAAATCTCGAGTTTTTTATTAAAATTAAAGAATGTCATTGCTGCTATTTCAGCATTAGTTTTATATTCTCTCATAGACTGTTAAATAAATTCACCTTAGTTTTAAAAAACACTAATAATTAAAGAACATACATATGTGAAATTTCATAGTGATTTGAAAATTTATAAAAATACAGAAACTGAGAATATAGTTAAATGATATTGGTGTTTTTGTGTGTGTGTGTTTTTTTTTTTAGAACATCTATGACAACAGTCTTCTATAAATTGAACTTTTCAAGAATTCTCTGAAGGAACCAAGTAGGATTTACTTACATCATGACTTAATCTGAATGCAAGAACAAGAAATAGGTTTTATCTCTAAATATAATGAAGGGTTGTGTGTAAACACTGACCCTGACTCAATTCTAATGAGCATTTTAGACATGAGTTTGCATCGGCAAATGGGTTCAGATCGAGATCTTCAGTCTTCTGCTTCATCTGTAAGCTTGCCTTCAGTCAAAAAAGCACCCAAGAAAAGAAGAATTTCAATAGGCTCTCTGTTTCGGAGGAAAAAGGATAACAAACGTAAATCAAGAGAGCTAAATGGCGGGGTGGATGGAATTGCAAGTATTGAAAGTATACATTCTGAAATGTGTACTGATAAGAACTCCATTTTCTCTACAAATACCTCTTCTGACAATGGATTAACTTCTATCAGCAAACAAATTGGAGACTTTATTGAGTGCCCTTTGTGCCTTTTGCGGCATTCTAAAGACAGATTTCCTGATATAATGACTTGTCATCATAGATCTTGTGTGGATTGCTTACGACAATATCTAAGGATAGAAATTTCTGAAAGTAGAGTCAATATCAGTTGCCCAGAATGTACTGAACAGTTTAATCCCCATGATATTCGCTTGATATTAAGTGATGATGTCTTGATGGAAAAATACGAAGAATTTATGCTTAGACGATGGCTTGTTGCAGATCCTGATTGTAGATGGTGTCCAGCTCCAGATTGTGGGTAAGGAAATACCATTTGATTTTTCTTGTTAATTTTTTTTTGGACAAAATAAGAATTTGATGACTATTACTAAAATTTTTACATGCCAGAGAATTCATTCAACAAATATGTTGAATACATACCATGTGTCAGGCACAATGTTAGTTGTTAAAGACAGTAATCCTATCTTCCTCATTACTATAGTGTCTTTGTATTACATATTCACTTAAGAGCATTTTTGGAAGAAAAGAATAAGATGGTAGAGTGCAGGATCTAGTGGTATACAAAATTGCTTTTCCTGTCCATTTGGAGAATTTTTATCTTAGAATAACAGATGAAATGATCATGATTGCTTGTGGTGAAGAGGTTATCTATGGTCATACACCTTTTTTCTTTCTTTCATTTTTTTTGTTGACATGTTTCTCAGATGAGATAAATGACCCTTTTGAAAGGTACCTTAGTATGTGCCATAGTATGATGTGTTCATGTTAATATACATAAGCATTTGCTAGTTTCAAAATATAGAAGTAATATTTCATTTGCTTTAAGTTTTGAACTACAAATACCATTTTCCCAACATTTAAAATAAAATAGTCAGGTACGGTGACACAATCCTGTAATCACAGCACTTTAGGAGGCAGAGGTGAGAGGATCACCTGTGTTCAAGGGTTCGAGACCAGCCTGGGCAACTTGACAAGACCTCGTCTGTACAATAAATTAAAAAAAATTAGCCTGCTGTGGTGGCACATGCCTGTAGTTCTAGCTACTTGAAAGGCTAAGGTGGAATGATTGCCTGATCCAAGCGGGTCAAGGCTGCTGTGGCCATGAGCATGCCACTGCCCTTTATCCTGGGTGACAGAGTGAGACTACTACTCAAAAATAAAAATAAAATAATATTGCTTATATATTTGATTATATGTTAATAATGGTCCCTGTTTATAGAGCATTTGTTATATTTGATTATATGTTAATAATGGTCCCTGTTTGTAGAGCATTTGTACAATTGTCAGAACTAGGGAAAAACAGTCATATGCACTTCAAGAATAATAAAAGCAGGCTGGGCATGGTGGCTCAAGCCTGTAATCCTAGCTCTTTGGGAGGCTGAGGCAGGAAGATTGCTTGAGCCCAAGAGTTTGAGACCAACCTAGGCAACATAGCAAGACCCTGTCTCTAAATAAAGAATAAATAAATAAATAATAGTAAAAGCCACAAACAAATAATGTGGTGTAGCATACTATTAGTAAACCAGAGATTCTATTTTAAGTAAAAGTTTGGGGAAACTCAGAACTTCCAAAATTATCTGTGTATCATCTTAGGGGCAAGGCTTAGATGTGAGTTTCATTTATCAAATTACAGTTTCAAGACTCTCTGCTTGAATCAAATTCACTACCAGAAAAGTGTGTTGGGTGGATTTTCAGATTGCATCTAACCTACTTTCAGAAATGTTAAATGAGAAAAGTAGTAAGTGTTCCCAGCCTATGCAAATCCCAGCTTTTCATTACTAGCATTTAACCATTCACCAAGGATTTCTGTGTAATTACCTAATTAATCTTGTATGAATTTAACTCACATACTGTTCGGTATCAGATTTGAATTGTTTTCCTATACTGTAGGGAACTTGTACTATAATATAGATAAGAAACAAAATAATATGTTAAAGATACTATCTAATCTGGGTCAGGATTAGCTGTTCTTCTAGGTGTAATGACAGAAGCAGAATCGGGGACCCATGAAGAGGTAAACTTCAAGAAAAAGATGGCAAGAAAATAGGGATAATGAACAATACTTCTAAGTAACCTGAGCAAGAGACTATTCTGTCAGAAAAACAGCTTAGATATGATTATATCACTCTTGATCCCATGGATCCCTGCATAACATTTTCACTAGTGCGCGTGTACAAGTCATACTGTTGAAATTAGGGTAGATTTCAAGTTGGGTAGCAAATTTTAGGTTTTATTAGTCATTATAGCAAGCACTCCTGTAGCAAGAGTTTTAATACTGAGGAATATGCCTGTGTTGTATTATATATGGAGAAAGAGTGTGTTTTTTCTAACTCATTCATCTTTCATAAAACCCTAGATATAAATGGTGCTTCATAAATTCCTTTAAGCTTAAAATTCATCTAAAGCTTTAAAAAAATCTGAAAATAATGGAACAAAGAAAATGGAGGCTTATGTGTTAGAACCTGTGGCTAGGAGATATTGAGACAATAAATCCAGGGGCACAAACCTTCTGATCACTAAATAGCTGTATATCCTCTTATGGTGGGTTGATTGATCATGCCATCATAATGGATAGTACTAATAGAACACAGTAGGTAAGGCTGAAACAGATTATAGTTTGTATAAGAACTTGATTTTAGGGGAAGCATACCAAGCCAACTGGAAAAGGATTGATCATTTAACACATAGAATTGTGAAAATTAGCTATTTACAGGGGAAAATTTAGATTGTCATCACACATAATATGTTAAACAAAATCAAAACAGATTACAGAGGTAAGTTATATAAATAAAAGAAAAAAATTAAAAGAAGATATAGGTGAATGATTTGTTCATCTACTGCCATATTATCTATTAAAATTGAACATGTATTTTTAACAGTATTTAAATTTACTAGTTAAATACTGTAGAGAAACTCTTATGTACCAGGAGTTATGTTTAGAGACGTTCACAAAAACAAACAAGAAATATAGCAAATGTTTGTTAACAGCAGAATATATAAATACATTTAGTTTATCGGCCACCTCTTGAGAGCAGGAGGAGGGGATGTGAACCTCAAGAGACAACCAAGGAACTTCAGAAGCCACTGATAAATAAGGTAACCATAGGTTCTGATTTTCAGTTCATGCTTATTGTATTGGTATAATTTTTAGTAACACTACCTTTCTTTCTCAAATGTTCCAGTTTAGGTTGTGAATTATATGATCATCCTACTAATACTGATCTTAACTTCTTTGGTGGATACAGAAGTATTCATTTTATTAGTCTGTACATTAATTTTTGGTTTTGGTTGTCAGTAATCTTACCCACAAAGAACAAATAAGACATTTTACAGAAAATAATTACTCTTACTTAAATATTTTTCACTTATAGTTGATTTATGCTGACCCTCTAGGTTGTTAAGAACATATTTTGTATACTCCATAACATTATTAGTTTTATGGTTGTGTTTTGTAGAAAACATCACTCAATAACATAAAATTTGTATGTATACTTTGGAAAACATAGGATACTACATGAACCTCATTAAAAGTTTCAGTTTTACTTATTGTAAGCATGTACAGACCTGATTTTGAATTCCATCCTATCATGTTGTTATAAGGATTAAGTGAGATAGATCTTTAATATTATTACCAGCAAAATTCCTAGCACACAGTAAGCTTCTCACAGCTCTTATTACTCCTTATCTCTATTTTCAAAGTGTTGCTTTTATTTTTTTAATCAGACTGTCATCTAATTATTAATGTACCTATAGGCCAGTTTCTAGAGATTTATTAATGAACAAAAGACAAAAATCCCTACACTTATTAAAACCTTTGGAACCCACAGAGGAACATTTTTTTTGTAATTAAAATTCCATTTAGTGAGACCTTATCTCTACAGAAAATTAGCCGGGTGTGGTGGCGCATGCCTGTGGTTCCAGCTACCTGAAAGGCTGAGGTCGAAGGATTGCCTGAGCCCAGCAGGTGAGGCTGCAGTGGCGGTGAGCAACATGCCACTGCACTCCAGCCTGGGTGGCAGAGTGAGACTCCGACTTAAAAAAAAAAACTCCATTTATTAGTTAAATCTAGCAAAAGAAATTTTAGTAAATATCTGAATATTTGGCAATCATTCATAGATATACTTTGCCACAGTACCAGGACCATAAGAGTATATGTAATACTTAACCCCTTTCATTGTACAGCACACTTGAAAGATTTTTTCCAGAAATGCTAGAATTGAAATTATGAATTTTTCTCATTTGATAGTTATCAGTATGGCCATTTTCTGTATCTGACATTAATTTTACTTAAACATGGTTTAACATACCTTGAGAAATACTGCCCTTGCCCAGAGTAGAAAAAAATAATACCTGCCCTGGTTTCTATTTTAGATCTCTTGGGGTTTCTGACCTAGTATTTATTCTTCACTCGTGTGTGTGTGTGTGTGTGTGTGTGTGTGTGTGTGTGTGTGTGTGTGTGTGTGTGTGTGTGTCGTATCTCGTGTCTCACTCTGTCATCCAGGCTGGAGTGCAGTGGTGCAATCAAGGCTCACCACACCCTCGACCTCCTAGCCTCAGGTAATCCTCCCTCCTCAGCCTCTCAATAGTTGGGACTATAGGTGCGCACTGCCACGCCCAGCTAATCTTCGTATTTTTTGTAGAGATGAGGTCTTGCTATGTTGCCTTGGCTCAAACTCTTGGGCTCAAGCAGTCCTCTTGCCTCTGCCTTCCAAAGTGCTAGGATTGCAGCCATGAGCCACCATGCCTAACTGTCTTTCCACTCTTGAGGGCTAGGACAGATTAAGTTTATTCAAAGGACAACTTTTCTAAAAATCTCTCTTGAGAAGGGATCTGGGGGGCCAAATCTGGGTACTGTGATTTGACCAGAGTGAGGTTAGCTACCATGCTTCTAGAACATGACAGTGCTCACAGGTTCATAGAAAAATCTGGCCATGGCTAGGAAGATAAACTGGGATGAGGGAAACTCAGTGTAAGAGACGAAGTATAGAAGCTGTCTTGGATGAAATGTCTGATTACCCTCTGCCTTGGAGTTCTAGTTTGTATATTGTCTGAGCAGATAGCAAAAAGTTGGCATTTTTGTTTCTTCATTACCTGTTTCAATTGGCTAAGGCTGCCCTCCTACCAGCACACATTATCCCTGTCCTCTCATGTGAATGCTTCTGACATTGTTGAGGAAATCTGAATATATAAGCACTTTTATTGTAAAAGAATGTAATTAATGATTTAGTGCCTGGGAACTCCTCAAAGATAAAAAAGAAGTGTTTGTTTTTTGTAAATACAGGTTAACACCATGCTTAA